AGGGGTTGCCTTCGTGTCCCCTCCCCCTGGGGGGTGATTTCTCACTGCCTCTTCTTTCTGTGGCAAGCACATGTGCCCTATGACATAGATAGATAGATAGATAGATAGATAGATAGATAGATAGATAGATAGATAGATAGATAGATAGATAGATAGATAGATAGATAGATAGATAGATAGATAGATAGATAGATAGATAGATAGATAGATAGATAGATAGATAGATAGATAGATAGATAGATAGATAGATAGATAGATAGATAGATAGATAGATAGATAGATAGAAATATTAATAGAAAGAAAAGAAGAAGACCTATGGAACCAGCAAATAGCGTAATGGTTACATCTCTGGGCTCCCATGTAGTTGACTGTGGTTCAAGTCCTGGACCTGGCTTAAAACTCACACCAGGCATATGTGCATGCATGCTCAAAATCCTGAGAGGAGAAGGGATTGCTTCATGGCCATCCCCACAGGGGGTGATTTCTTGCTTTCTGTCTCTCTGGCAAGTGCATGTACCCTATAGCAAAAAATTCTCTCTCTCTAAAAAAAAAAGAAGATGAGTTGTTAGAAAGATTGATAGATAACAGAGTGCTATCGAGCACATTTCCAGGAGAGGAAGGTCAGACTATCATTGACACAGAGACATCAAGTCAAAGATTATATGTGGTTTGAAAAGAGTGCATAAAATTATGGTTAAAAGACAAATTTTCCAAGGTGCTGATTGGCCAAAAGGGAGACTATAAAGTAGCTAAATTAGTTCATCTTTCAATGTGTTAATTTAAGAAAAAGTTTAAGAATAGAGATAGTTTTGTTAAGTTACTCGTATTGGTGAGCCACGTAGTGTCTCTTCCATTCACTTTTTTTTCTCCTCTGCAGACTGAGAATCCTTAGAAGAGCTGCTGTAGCACAGAGGGGAGGTGAAAACCAACGGACGGAAGTTTTGCCATGCACTGAAGGAAGAGCATTGCCTGTGAATTCCTATTTTTAAAAATGTCTGCTTGTAACTCCTTCACTGAACACGTGTGGAAACCTGGTGAATGCAAGAATTGCTTTAAACCTAAAAGCTTACACCAGCTCCCCCCAGACCCTGAGAAAGCACCCGTCACCCATGGCAATGTGAAAACTAATGCCAATCACAGTAACAACCACCGCGTCAGGAACACCGGAAATTTCCGGCCTCCTGTGGCTAAAAAACCCACTATAGCTGTGAAGCCCACTATGATGGTGGCAGATGGGCAGAGTGTGAGTGGTGAGCTTAGCATCCATGAACACTGCGAGAATAAGCCTGTCGTCGTGGGGTGGAACCGAAACAGGACTGCCTCGAGCCAGAAACCACTGAACAATAATAATGAAGACGATGTTGAAGGATTTAGCCACATGCCTAAGCCTTATGGCACTAATGAGAGTGCAAAGAAGATATCGAATAACAACAACGGACTCACCGAAGTGTTGAAGGAGATCGCAGGCTTGGATACCACCCCTCAGATACGAGGAAGTGAGACAGACGCCAGAGAAACGTTCTTAGGAAGAATAAATGATTGCTATAAGCGGTCCTTGGAAAGAAAGCTGCCTCCGAGTTGCATGACAGGTGGGATGAAGGCTACTCAGGGCAAGCGTGTCATTCTGAGTGGGAGCACAGAAGTGATCAGTAATGAAGGGGGTCGGTTCTGTTACCCAGAGTTCTCCAGCGGTGAGGAGAGTGAGGAAGACGTGCTTTTCAGTAACGTGGGCGAGGAGCACGAGAGCTGGGACGAGAGTGATGAGGAGCTGCTGGCCATGGAGATCCGCATGAGAGGGCAACCTCGCTTCGCTAACTTCCGGGCAAACACTTTGTCCCCTGTTCGATTCTTTGTGGCCAAAAAATGGAATACCGTCCCCCTGCGAAATAAGTCTCTGCAGAGAATCTGTGCTGTAGACTATGACGACAGCTATGATGAAATCCTAAACGGGTATGAGGAAAATTCTGTGGCCTCCTATGGACAAGGAAGTGTTCAGAGCATGGTGTCATCCGATTCCACATCTCCAGATTCTTCCTTAACGGAAGAGTCTCGTTCTGAGACAGCCAGTAGTTTATCCCAGAAGGTTTGTAATGGAGGAGTATCACCTGCTAAGCCAGCAGACGCTAAGGACATGAAGGAAATTGAGCCCAACTATGAAAGTCTCTCTAGTAATAACCAGGAGACAGACTCATCACAGGCTTCCAAAAGTCCAATCAGAGTTCCAGAGACACACAAAGCAGTCCTTGCCCTCCGGTTAGAAGAGAAGGATGGCAAGATCGCTGTGCAAACCGAGAAGCAGGAAAGTAAAGCCTCTGCAGATATCGGCGGGCAAGCAGTAACCATTAACCTCGTCCCCGTGGAAGAGCAAGCGAGGCCCTACCGAGTTGTCAACCTGGAGCAGCCATTGTGCAAGCCGTACACCGTGGTGGATGTGTCGGCAGCCATGGCCAGTGAGCACCTCGAGGGCTCCGTCAGCAGCCCCAAGACGAAGGGCGCATCTTCTACTCCCAGCTCCCCAGTGACGTCACCTGCATCGACGCCAGGACAGATGAGTGCCCATTTCCAGAAGTCCAGTGCGATCCGGTACCAGGAGGTCTGGACTTCCAGCACCAGCCCACGACAAAAGATCCCTAAAGTGGAATTAATTACTGGTGGAACTGGACCAAATGTCCCTCCGAGGAAAACCTGCCACAAATCAGCACCTACTTCACCCACAGCTACAAACATTTCCTCCAGAACCATTCCTGTGAAGTCACCCAACTTGTCTGAAATCAAATTTAATAGTTACAACAATGCTGGCATGCCACCTTTTCCGATCATCATTCATGACGAGCCGACCTACGCTCGGAGTTCCAAAAATGCCATCAAAGTTCCCATCGTCATCAATCCCAATGCGTATGACAATCTAGCCATCTACAGAAGTTTTCTGGGAACAAGTGGGGAACTGTCAGTGAAGGAAAAAACCACGAGCATAATAAGCCATACTTATGAAGAAATAGAAACTGAAAGCCAAGTGTCCGACGCCACCACTGCCAAAGCCCCCGAGGGTCCCCAAGCCAAAGGCTTTTCAAACAGCACAGAGCGGAAAAGGGGCTCGGTGGCTCAGAAGGTTCAGGAGTTCAACAGCTGCCTCAACAGAGGTCAGTCTTCACCACAGAGGAGCTACAGTTCCAGCCACAGCTCGCCAGCCAAGATCCAGAGAACCACTCAGGAGCCCACGGCCAAGGCAGACGGCTCCCCGGACTCGCAGGCGGCAGGCGGCAACAGCTCCCGGGAGAAAGCAAGCACGGTGCTTTCTCAGATCGTGGCTTCCATCCAGCCCCCACAGTCTCCTCCAGAAACACCTCAGTCTGGCCCTAAAGCTTGCAGTGTGGAGGAACTTTATGCCGTCCCCCCCGATGCCGATGCTGTGAAGAGCACACCTAAGGGTACACCTGTCAGGCCCAAATCGCTCTTTACCGCCCAGCCGGGTGGTGAGGCGGAAACACCTCAGGCCACCGAAAACCCTACCACCAAAGTGCAGAAAGATCCCCTGGCAAAGCCAGTCACCTCCCCGACCCCCAAATTAGTGACCAGTCCCCAAAGTGAGCCACCACCTCCCTTTCCCCCGCCACGCTCGACCTCCTCCCCTTACCATGCAAGTAACCTTTTGCAGAGACATTTCACCAACTGGACCAAGCCCACCAGCCCTACCAGATCAACAGAAGCGGAGTCCGTTTTGCACTCTGAAGGCAGCAGGCGTGCAGCTGATGCGAAGCCCAAACGCTGGATATCGTTCAAAAGCTTCTTCCGCCGCCGGAAAACAGATGAGGAGGATGACAAGGAGAAGGAGCGAGAGAAGGGGAAACTGGTGGGCTTGGACGGCACGGTCATCCACATGCTCCCCCCACCTCCAGTCCAGCGCCATCACTGGTTCACAGAAGCCAAAGGAGAGGCCAGCGAGAAGCCAGCCATTGTCTTCATGTACAGGTGCGACCCTGCCCAGGGCCAGCTGAGCGTGGACCAGAGCAAGGCTGCGGCGGACCAGGCACCAGCCCCAGAGAAGGGCAGGGCAGAGGACGCGTTGTCCCAGGGCCCGGAGAAGAAAAAAAGGAGCCATTCCTCCCCATCACAGGTTCCTAAAACACTTCTCAGGTATGTTAAGTAGACGGGCAGAATACGGGGATTTTTAAAAACACATTCTCGGGTGTGGAGTTTTTTATATCTTCTAAGATTGCCTACGAGCCATTTCTGTCTGTAAGTAGCACTGTGTGGCCATCATCCATCTTTATAACTACATTCCAAAATGAGAGTATTATTAAAGTGATCTTATTGCACTGAACGAGGTTTATGGCCCTGGATCTTTAGCTAAAGTAGCCTGCTGCATTCTGGTGAATGCAAAGGGGCTTTAACATAGAAAAGCAAATCCAAAACACCTTAATAACAATAAATAATATGTTGTTTTGAAATGCTACGATAGTGTGAGGAAGAAACAGGAGCAAATGAATAAATGGTGGTATGTTCTCTCCCTTGCTATAAATGAAATAAAACTCCTCAAGCAATTCTTTTTGGCTTTACCAAGGTGATACTTCAAATGCATTGCTTTACTTTAAGGGCATATTTGTTTTGTTTTTTTTGTTTTTTTGGTTTTTTTTTTATTGCTTTCTCTTTCTGTCCTCTTCCCAAGTGATGTTGGAGAAGTGAGTGGGGAGAAAACAAGTTATTTATAGTGATTTAGCACGTAGGGAAATAGGAGGAATGGTCATGAGATTGCGACCTGTTGGTGTGACCCTCAGTTCAGCTAGGGTACCCACTTCAGTGCTGTAGGTGACAGTTCTTAGTACCTTAAGAACTCTTTATGGATCACCTACTTTGCACAAGGCACACTCACAGATTTGTCTCAGATTCTTACAACGCCTTATAAGTTAGCCATATTCTTCAGATGAGGAAACTGAGAATCAAAAAAGTTAAAGATGGGCCTGGTTCCTTCTTTTTTTTCTTTTTTAGGTTTGTGCCATAGGGCACATGAGCTCCCCAGAGAGAGACAGAGAGAGGAAAAGTGAAAAATCACCCTCCTCCAGGGGTGATGGCCACGCCACAGTCCCTTCTCCATTCTCCTCTCAGGATTTTGGGGCACACATGTACACGCGCCCAGCATGATCTTCCGGGTCCAGGACTCGAACCGCAGTCAATTACATGGGAGTCCAGCGACATAGCCATTATGCCAGCTGCTGGTCCCAAAATTGTTCTATTTTTCACTTGTAATCATTTATATAAAGTTATGTTTACGGAGACCAGCAGATGGTGTAATGGTTACAGCTCTGGACTCCCATGTAGTCAAATGCAGTGTGAGTCCCAGATCTGGAGGCTTTAACTCACACTGGGCACATATGTGTGTGTGCCCAAAATCCTGAGAAGAGAAGGAAGGAAAAGGGATTGTGACATGGAAATCTCCTGTGGTTGATTTCTTGCTTTCTGTCTCTCCGTCTCTCTCTGTCTCTCCATGAGTATATGTACCCTATGACAAAAATCTCTCTTAAAAAAAAGTTATGTTTAGGAAGCCTAAACTTTTCTTTCTCACTTGTATTTTAAAACAGAATTAATGAACTGCTAATAGAAACAAGGAAATTTTATCTCATGTTTATGACAAATAGGATAATTTCCTTATATGGGTTTTCAAAAAGTTCACAGAAGATGTGTATTATGAAAAAATTAGGCAGCGATTTCAAGAGTTTTTTCACTAAAATAAACTCATGTTAATTCCATTTTTTTCTTGAGTTTTTTCAAGTACCTTTGTGTTGTTATTTTAAACATAGATAAGCTCTGAGTACTTTGTTTATCTGATTCTGAATCCTTCTGCCTCCTGACTTACTCTAAACCTTCTCTGGCCTGGCCTTCTTTCCAGCAGACTGCAAATGGATTCATGGGGCATATTTCTCTCACCAGTTTTTCATTATAAAAGTATGAATAATAATGAACACTTTGGGGACCAGCAGTTGGCGTGATGGTTAAAGCACTGGACCCCCACATGGCTGACCACAGATTGAGTCCTGGACCTGGCAGCTTGCTTTCTCTCTCTCTCTGTAGTAATAAATAAAATTAAATAGGTAATTCTTTTTTTTTTTTTAGATGAACACTTAAGGCCTTTCACTTTCCTAGCAAAATGGTAGGACATTTTATATGTATTCTGTACTAAAATGAGCTCTTTACATACCTCCGAATAGTCATCAAAATGCCAGCAAGTCCTTGTTTTTGTTAAGGCCATGTAATAACAAAGCAGCTCGAATAGTGGTAGTATATTGCTGGGAAGAACAGTCTTTCGTTGGTAGTTGAAGTATTCCACGGTAATGTACTCAATGATGAAATGTTGTACTCTGGCAGTAATCAAGCTCATGTAGGGCAGGTTACTGTTTTATTTAGAAAAGAGGCGATTTAAACTGCACACGGTTGGAGCTACCTAGGAGGGAATGGCAGGTAGTTCTTGCAGATCAGTGAATGGCTTTCTTCGTAATGCAGAGTGGCTGTGCTGCACTTATCCACAGTCTGGGAGGCAGAGCTGAGTGGCACGGCCGCTCTTCTGTGCACCTGGACTCACGCCTCTAGCTGCACACCTGTGGGCCTGAGGGCCGCCCAGGGCCTGGGCCTGACAGGCCTCTCACTGCACAGCTTACACTTTCACAGATTTGGCTGTACGTAGGCCAGGCCTATCTTTCCCATTTTATTAGTATTTTAGAGGTAACAGTCTGAGTTCAAATCGCACATTTACTTTGCCTTTTTGGCTCTCACCTTTGACCAGGATTCATAGTCATCTGGAAGGCTGTTAAAACAGAATGTTGGTCTCCAACCCCAGAGTTTCTGCCTCAGTAAGTCTGGGGCGAGTCCTGATAATCCGTCCTTCTAACAGGTCCCCAGATGATGCTGCTGCTGCCGGTCCTTGGGCCACAATCTAGAACCTTGTTCTCACCACCCTTCTGAAGATGCATACTAGATAAAGCAGCGATTAAACTCTTGTTAGAGAGGCACTGAAATTTTCACATAATGTTGGAGAATAAGTAGAAAGAAAAAAACTATTCAGTAGTTGTGTTTTTAAGTTTGCCAGAGGACAGATGCACTGGCTGGGGAAGAAAGAGAAAGAGAGAGAGAGAGAGAGAAGCAAGAACCCCCATGGGGCATGGTCTGCTGCAGTCCCTTTTCCTCCATCTCTCCCTCCCCTGGGATCATGGGCACCCACATGTACCCAGTGTGCTTCTCAAGCCACCTGGTCCAGGACTCAAATTGCATAGTCGGTCACATGCAGTCTGACTGCCTCAACCAGCAGGCCCCCCACTGGCCTCAATAGTTTGTTTGTTTGTAAAAAAAGGAAACTTTAGAAAACTTTTAAACACTAGTAGGTGGGCCAGTGCGTGAATTGGTGGTTGAGGCATTGGATCCCACATGGCCAATTGCATGATTTGAGTCCCAGAGCTAATGTCCTAAAAATTGCACCGGGTACATGTGCATGCATGCATGCCCAAGATCCCAACAGGAAGGAGAAACAGAAAAGTGATTGCGGCATGACTGATCCCTATGATCCCTGTGGAGATGATTTCTCACCTTCTCTCCTCTGTCTTTCTCTCCCTAGAGAGTACATGCATCCTCTGCCAAAAAAAAAAAAAAAGCATATTGAAAAATAGACACCATTTGCTTTTTCGGTAATTACCTCATTTACTTGGATACACCATTGGTATTTACTTGAAGCAACTTTGAGAGGAAAAACATTACTATCAAATGTCAACATTTGTGTTTCCGGCTTGGCGGCAGTGTGATCATTAAATTGCCATCCCACGGCTGGGAACACACTGCTGAAAGAAATGAAAATGCAATATTTCTATAAGTCAATGACAATTTTAAACCCAGACTGTATGTAGGGAATGAAGAATAAAAAAACACTGTACTCAAGGCTAGACCCCACGCTCTGAAAGATGAGGGACTTTATGGAGCCTTTAATTATAGGATTAGACTAAGTCGTTGCCAAACTCATTTACTTGACTATTCAGGAGACATAAATTGAACCATGTATGTGCCACTGGGCCCTGGAGCAAATAGAGGAAAGGATCATGGCCACACTGAAGTAGTGGGCCTGGGTTCTCAGTTGTCTGTCTGGCCTGCAGTGCACAGGGCTATGATGGTCTTCCCACATAGCATTCGTTGAGGCTTTCATGAGAAGACATGTGAAGGACTTAGCACAGGGGCTGGCACAGGTTGAGTGCTTTAAATGTTAGAACCCCTCTGCCCTCGATGTGGTACGTGTCCCACCCCTGTAGGTGCAGAGTCGGGGAGGGGGCAGCAAATGAAGCAGGACATATGGCTGGAAGGGGATGATAGTCCAGGAGATCGAAAAGAAACGGAATTCGCAGAAGGAGAGAGTGGACTGGTGGTTCCCAGAGGCTGGGCGAGGGGAGGAAATGGAGGAAGGGAAGGTGTTGGTCAAGGAATAGCCTTTGTGAGCTACCACGTAGGGTGGTGACCCCTGGGAATAACAGTGTATTATATATTTCAAAATTGCTGAAATGGTACATTTTTAACATTCTCACCACACACACACACACACACACACACACACAAAAGGTAAGTAGGTAAGGTGGTAGATATATTCATTAATTTTAATCTTTCTACAATATGCGTGTGTATGTGTGTATATATCACATTATACCCATAAATATATATTATTATTAGTTAATTTTAAATTTTAAAAAATTATAATTTTCTAGAGGGCACATGCACTTACCAGACAGAGGAGAGAGAGAGAAAGTGAGGAAGCACTCTCAGTGGGGAATGGCCACGCCACGATCCCTTCTCCATTTCTTCCTCATGTCAGGATTTGGGACACACATACACACGTGCCTGGAGTGTCTTTTAAGCCACCGCGTTCAGGACTCAAACCACAAAGTCAACCTTATGGGATCTAACCACCTTAACCTCAGCTACCTGCTAACTCTAAAATTGATTTTAATGAAAAAAAATAGTCTAGTGGTTTGTAAAGTATAGTCTATATAAGGTCAAATAGTGACCAGGCAGAAGTCACTATTTTCTTAGTGTCAGAAAGTTCATGGAAAATCCATATTATTCAACAACAAAAAAAATCCATCTATGCGGGACCAGCAAAGAGCATAATG